CCGTATTACCAAGTAGGTATTAATCGTAAAAATAAATGCAATAAAATCGAGAAAATGGACCAAAAATTGTAGAAATATGCTCTTAAAGTATTTCTTTAATCATTAATCTCATTAGTCATTAATCGGTGTAATGAGTTCAATAGATGATATTTTTTATATGCGTCAATATCATAGACCTTATACTACGTGTAAACCGAGACCAGCCTATTTGAGTCATAAAAAATATATTTGAGTTCAATAGGTGAATGAGTTCATATAGGTACTAACCGCGAGTCCAATAAGCAACAACAATTATATTACCCAAGTATTAAATATACAATACCTAATACCTATGCATATTTTTACACACAGTATAGAAAATTGTTTTATTTTAAGTTTTATTTTTTTTTTATTCGTTTTTAAAGAATAATCATGAAATTATTATTCCCTTTAAAACTTATATACCTACCTATTATACTGTAGCAAACTTACACCGCAGTATTGCTGGTACCTAATGACTTATTTTGAAATCTGATGCAACTATCCATACCTATAGATATATATGTAGTCTTATATAGACATTCACATTTTAATAGTACCTATATATACTAATAATATAATAATATAACTGTATTATTGTGACACGTGAGTGTAAAATATTTCACATTGCAGTTACAGTACAGCTACCTATACATATATCATTAATTTTGATAAAAAAAAAGGTGGGTAAGTGGATGTCGCTCTGCTGTACAGTAGGTTACAAGTGGGTCACTGTATAATGGATGCTTTTAAATTTGAATTCAATGATACAATATCATTGTATAAGAAAAACGATTCTGAGCGAAGACGGTATGTTAGTCTAGGTTTAAGACAAATTATATACATATCTATGGTATTAAAAAAAAAATTGACCTAAAATAAATTCCAAATTAATCATATCACAATATCCATTAGGTACTTATAACACGTTATACCCCAACAACAAACCCTGATACTATCATATATATATAGTAGTACACTTTAGAAGTTTCAAGTAGGTACCCACGAATAATATTATATAATCACAACAAAATAACTAGGTTTTTTAATATGTAATTTCGTCCAAATTTGAACATAAAATGACTATAAAAATAAACTGTGATTGTATATTTTTTAGATTTTTCGGTAAGAGAATTAACTACTTACGTGGAATCTTGTTTTAAATTTTCAATCCTTAGCTATAAAAACTGAACATTTTATAATTTATTAATTACGATGATTAATAATTTTCGAGATTTTGAAAAATTCTATCAAAATTCGATGTTAAAATGCTTATAAAAAAAAATTGTGCCTATGTATTTTTAATATTTTTCAACTGATATTGTAACAATATATCAGGAGCCTTGTATTAAATTTTTACACTTTTTGGCCCAACAGATAAAACTTAATTGATATTTATAGAAAAAAAAAACTAAAAAAATTGAAAACTGAAATTGTCCGTAAACGGCTCAAAAAGTGTCAAAATATTTTCAAAATTGTAGGGTGTATAGGAAATACTAATATAAACATTCAGTGAAATTTTCATGTATCTACAGTAATTCGTTTTTTAATTACAACAAAAAAAGGAAATTGCCACATGAGAAATCGAGTGAATATCCAATGTTGTAAAAATTTGAATTTCAAACGCTCATAAAAATTTAATTTGACTTTCCGGTAGAAATTTTTTTATTGATAAAGGTAGACAATCTTATGAGTAATCTTGTATTAGATTTTCAAATCTTAGATTTAAAAAGAAAAATTTTTACGAATTCTTAACTCAAAATAATTTGCTAATTTTCGTGATTTTTCCATATTTTGTCAATTTTTGAACTTTAAATGCTTATAAAAAAAAATTGTGACTAAGAATTTTTAATATTTTTCATCTGCCTTTGAAACAACATATTAGGAGCCTTCTATTAAATTTTCAAGCTTTCGCAACCAACAAATTAAATTTTATTGATATTTTTAGAAAAAAAACTAAAAAAAAATGGAAAATGAAAATGTCCCTAAACAGTTCAAAATAAATCAAAATATTTTGAAAATGTTATCGTGTATAGAAAATGCAAATATAAACAACCAGTGAAAATTTCATGTATCTACGGTCATTTGTTTTAAAGTTACACCAAAAACCAGAATCGATTTTTTGGAAAACCGATTTTGCGTAAAAATTCCCGTTTTTCCTTAATTTTTATGTTGTTTTTCCCGGCGCTCTTGAAAACTACTGGGAAATTTAAATTTTGACCTCCCCAATGCACCAACGATATTCACTTTCCAATCGAACAAGATACTGAAGTCGAAAATCGAAGCATTATTTCGACTACTTATCGTGTACACAGACACAAAAAAAATAAATATAAAAATAAAAAATAAAATAAAAAAAAAAATAAAAAAAAATAAAAAAAAACACACATCATTGTAAAATCAATACATTCATCGTTTCACTCAGAATCTAAAACTAGCTAAGTGTGTGCTATATACCCACGCGTTACGCACTCCCGACCTAAATACTTAATACCTAGCTTGTTTAAATACTGAACATTGTAATTATTTATATTTTAAATTCTAGGCGAGTTGATAAACTTTAATAGTATTTAATGTCTTAATTATTCGTTCCTCCCTTTTCTACATTAAGTACCTATATTGAATTCCGTTTGGGCGAACCTGTCCATATACCCCATACATGCGTATCTATAGTAGCTAAGTAATCCCGAAATGAGATTCGGAGTATTTCAGATGAGTCTTCAGATTGCTACTAGTGATAAAGTGATAATTTCATAAAATCAAAGTATAAAGAAAGCTTACTATTCATTGATTATTATAAAGTGGTTTGGCTTATAAAAATTCTATAGGTAGGTCGTAGGTATTCATACAACATATTTAAATTAAAAATATATCTATATAATTGTTTGCCTTATAGGATTTGTTTAATATTAATTGAAAATGTATTCAGTATGAAATATCAGCTATGATAAACATAAACAGGGGATTCCTTCTTACGAATCTATTAATTAATATACTCGTAATATAAGTAGGTACATAACTAAAGATATATATCCTAAAATTTGTGAAATTTTTCAAGTGGCTTTAACAATATGTCAATATCTATTAGTTCAGCAAAACGTGAAAGTTCATTTTCGGAAATGCAAAGAATCAGCAGTTATCAACCATATGTTTTATGATAGGTTTTCAAATTTTCCATTTGACTATTATGAATTTTGAATAAGTATAGAAATATTGATATAGAAAATTATGTTGTTTTTAAAAAATATTTTTGTCAAAACTGGTATAAAAATTAAATCGTAGGTAAACATAATGTTACATATGTACCTGTTGTGCTTTTGAATTGTTAATTATTTGTTGTATAAATTATAATGAATAGTAGGTACCTACCTACCTACCTACCTATTAATGTATTAAACAATAAACATTTATTTTTTCCAAATAATAGCCCCCACTTCCCTCCAAAAAAATTTGTTTATAATTTCTAGATACGCCTATGCCTGTCGTCCTTAATTCAGCCGAGAATGCCGAGCAATACCTATATAGACATATAGTGTTGAATTATGTTACCTTCATCTTCTCCAGACTTATTGTACAGAACAATTGTGCTCAAAAAAAATTCTTCTGCACAGTATTTTACAATCAAATCTAGCCTGTAATTACGTGTTATTATCAATGTTAACTCCGTGGTAGGTACCTACATCGTACACGGTACCTACTAAACAGAAGCGCAGACTATAGTTTGTTCCGTGTTCGCAGGTGATGCATTCCTATTTCCTAATATTTCATATTTCATAAATTATTTACTCCCTATTTATTATTACCTATGAGCAAGTGTTCCACCTCACCCTTTTATGAACATTACAGTTTATCACAATGTGTTAATATATGACACATTTTATAAACAATTTGGTTTACCCCTCCACCCCAAAATTATTTATATTGTATAAATTATGATTAATAACTATAGCAGTGCCCTGCACAGGCTGTACCACCCATTCAGACGCCAAAAGTATGCTTGCCTACCATGATATAAACAACATGGTATGATCTGAACTTTTTGACGGTCAGATCTTTCGGTGCGGGGCACGTGGTAGTGACGTAGCGTTGGTAAGGTATAGTAATAATCAGAGCTGTAAATTATATGCATATGCAACATGCATGTTATTTTTGCTGCACCATTAAAAATATGGATGATTGCTTTGACTTATTTATAGTTAAAATACAAAATCTTATTGCTCATATTTTTGCATATTTTATGGATTAGAGCATAATACTAAAGGTAATAATTTCATGTTTTCATGATTTCTTCGTATAATAAAGCTTATTGGTTATTTTCTTAAAATGTTTTTATTTTTTCTATTTAAACTGTTCCAATAAACCCGTATCTCTAATAACGATAGTAAAATCATGGTTGTTCTGATATCTACAAATCCGTTATCCGTATAATGTACATTCGTAATCTAGTATGTAAATAAAGAATTTTTAATTATTATTTATTAATTTCAACAGTTTTTTAATAAAGAAGTTTTCGTAGAGGATTAATTTTTTTTTTAATTTTAAGTGCATATTTTTGAATTTTCCAGATCATATAATATTATATGATCTGGAAAATTTAAAATCATATTTTGACTGTTTTTACTTTTTTAGTGCATTCAATTCACAGCCCTGGACTAATAACAATTAAATGACAATATGATATTATGGGTGAGCACGTGAAGTTTTATATAGGTGCCAGGTGGAATTGGACCAAATCTGGACTTTTGCGATCGTACCATGTCGTTTATATTATTATAATATGCACTACGACACTATACTGACTTTTAAATTGCTGACGGTATCTTCGCATATAAAGTATATACATACCGTCAGCAATTTCGAGTACAACACAGCTGCTGCTGGTAAGTGGTAGGTAGGTGTAATAATAGGTACCTAGGTATTATATTGCTGACGCCGTTTGATACCAGCTAGGTATTCAAATAGCTGCTATTTCATGTATTTACCTATGAGTGTAGACCGTCCGCCGACGCCAGCGTTGTTTATGAGCACGTCGACGCCGCCGAACGTTTCTTCGACCCATTGGAACGCTCGTATGATCTCTTCCTCGTGACACAAGTCCACGTTTAACGGGTAGAGGTTTGCCGTTTTTAATTCATCTTTCAGTTCCTATACACAATTATAGATACATATATTTATCAAATATTATGTAAATAATATGTTATATAAGGTGCAAAGAGCATATTATTTTGATAATGTTTTATATTGATTTTTTTTTTAATCAACCAACATCGTACAAAATCAATGACATAACACAAAACCATATACAATATATAATTATATGTGTATATAATATATATAGTATGTATGGTACATTGGTACCTATACATAATATATTATATTATATAATAATAATTAGTTGATAAACCAACTTTATTGATACCTATACCTATATATAATATATTATATTCGTATCCAGTACGTTTTTAATTTATTTGAACCTTTACACCCATGATAGACTTATAACAGAGAGAGAGAGAGAGAGAGAGAGAGAGGTCCGGTGCCAAAATTATTGGATAAAGATAGTATATTATACTCAACTTAAGACTGTTCATAATTTATACCCATTAATAGCGAGAGAGAGAAAGAAGTTACGATGATAACAACGTTTTTAGAAAAAGTTAGCATACACACTATTTAGGACTTAGGTCCCATCATATATTATGCAAAGGTCAATCACTTTTTAACAATGTTGGTTCTTGGCAACCTATAGCTTGGAATGGCCGTATGGGGGGGAGGGGGTACACACAGTCCATATAATATTATTAATTTGTCTATGTTTCCGCCATTATATCGTGCTCGGAATTAATTAGGTATCCAATGGGTATTTATTGAGTCCTACTACCTACCTAGCCATGTTATGCACAAAACATTGTTCTGTCAAATATATCACTTAGGTGTATATAATCTACAAAATCTTTAATATAATTTATTAATCTAATATACCTACCTATCGTTAAAGTAGGTATCGAGCTTAAATACCGTATGAACAATTATGTGTAGGCAGTAAGCACTATATGTATACCTACCTATAATATAATAGCAAATAGCTTTTGTCATTTTAAATCAAAAATTAACATCCATAATATAAAATAATAGCCAATAGGTGGGTATAGCCGTATAGATAAGCCGGTAAGGTTAGACTGTTACTAACTAAGACTGTAGGGGCACGGAGAGTAGGGAAACACAAAATATGATCCAATGATCAGTGGCGGCGAGATAAATGATTATTTGAAACAATTGCTTCATGTTTGAAATGGGTGGGTGAGTGTATAAATATATATATAATCGTAAGACCTCAACAAAAATATCATGGCAAATATTATAATTAATAATTATTGATGGCCCCTGCTGTTAATTTTGGTCCAATGAAGGGTACGGTGGTAAAAATATTTAAAATATACAATATGCTTCAAATCCTACACAATTTCTCGCCGCCACTGCCAATGATATAGTCATTGTGTGTGTCTACTGTAGTACTGTCTATACGCTTACATTTAAATTCAGTCTTGTTAAGAATACGTAGGTTTATTAAATACCTACTTATTGGTGTCATTTGTATTTGAAATACGTACCTATTCGAATACTGTCTTTTAAAATAATTTTTCTATAAATACAAATATATTTTAAAAGTATTCAGAATACTTTACAAGTATTTTCTTTAGTATATTAAAATCTTTTATACGTTTACCACAAATGTACGGGTAGGTACTTAAAATTATTAATAAATATTTGAATTAAGAATATCAGTTGTCACATACTCACAAAGGTGCCTCGTGCCTATTACATTGTCAAGTTAAACGTCATCAAGGTAGATATGAATTGTAGGTATTTTATCATCTGCTTATTTAATGAAATCTTAAAAATTCTTATGAGCATTATAAAACATTATTTTAACACCATTTTTTTTTAAATTGTAATATAAGAAACAAAAATATTGTTCGTTGAAATACGACGGCAAACAAAAAGTAGTTAGTATTCTGGTATAAAAATCTAAGAAAAATTATTTTGAAAGTATTTACAATACACTTGTCAAAAAGTATTTGAAAAGTATTTGAAACACTAAAAAAATAATACCTAGTTAAATACTTAACAAGACTGCATTTAATGCAATAAAATTGTACCTAATTTATAACCTTATAATAAATATTGTTTTAATGGTTTGTAATAGTTTAATTAGTTTAATTAGTAAACAGCAAATAAATAATTTAATTTATAAATACATTATAATATATTACTATATTTTATATATCGAGTGTATATTATTATATCTAGTCTATATGATCACGTGCATTGTACCGCCACGTTTGAGAAGATAATTATTATTTTTGTATATCAAAATAATATACCTATACCTGATATAATATTATCATTACCTACAACTGAACGTCTACTCATATTTTATTGTATTGTTTGTGTACATTGCATAACATATACAGGGTGTTTCTGAAATGAATGAGGAAACTAGTATATGCGTACTCCGTGTGATGACCCAATGATGATTTTTTTGAAAATTTTTTTCTACCTTCAAAATCTGGGTTTTTTCAATTTATTTTTAGAACATTATCTTAAATGTAAAAATAAATACTCAAGTTGTATTTTTTGTAAAAATCTCATACGAATCGAGGTGTCACATCATTTTTGAGCTTGTCGCGCGTTTTTCACGCTCGAACCGCCGATTAAAAAAAAATGGTGTGGCACATCGATTTGTATGAGAAAACTACAAGATAAACAGTGGTGATAGTTATTTGTTGAAATTTAACATATACGATTAATTAACACATTGTTTTACATTGTCAACTAATAAAAATGATAAATAATAACATAATTAGGGTTAACAGAGTCTTAAATGATCGAATTTATGTGTTAATTAATCGTGTATGTTAAATTTCAACAAATAACTATCACCACTGTTTATCTTGTAGTTTTCTCATACAAATCGATGTGCCACACCATTTTTTTTTAATCGGCGGTTCGAGCGTGAAAAACGCGCGACAAGCTCAAAAATGATGTGACACCTCGATTCGTATGAGATTTTTACAAAAAATACAACTTGAGTATTTATTTTTACATTTAAGATAATGTTCTAAAAATAAATTGAAAAAACCCAGATTTTGAAGGTAGAAAAAAATTTTCAAAAAAATCATCATTGGGTCATCACACTGAGTACGCATATACTAGTTTCCTCATTCATTTCAGAAACACCCTGTATATATATAGGTACCTACTGATGTTAATAAATAATAGGTATATAGAGCCATATATAGGTTATCTGAGGTAACCACTATCACAGATGATGTTTTATTTATGTTATAGAAACATTGAAACGGCACACCATATAATATTATTATGAAAATGAAACGAAGAAGAGCGATGGAACCAGATTCTTTCAAGTTAGATTTTACTTTTTCTTGGTGCACATATAGGTACGACGCGCGCGCACATAATATTATGCGGTGTGCGTCTTACGTAAGTATAGAAACCCGTTAATTTGAGCGTAAGCCCTATTGCCGACGGGGACTAAAACGAATTTCGTATTGCCCCCTAAATGCACATTTGACATGTGTTTTACTAATGATTTTTTATTGATCTTTATCCTTGACATAATAACAATTTGGCATGCAAATCAAAATAGTTGCGATGAAATTTTATTAACTCAAATGTAAGTATTGCGTTTAACCGGTTATCGAATAAGACATAAGCAATAAGATGTCATAATAGCTGATATGGATATCAATAAAGTGATGATTGTACCTGCGTCGTACAAATATTATATGATAAATGATAACAAATTATAAAAATAATACTACATGATGTTTATATAGGCACATAAAATGTTTTATTTTTTTAAAGTGTTGCGGTTCGTTATGATAGAAATAGTTACTAATTCATTACACGTTTTTAAGACATAGATATTTTTTAATTAGTAAATTATACATAATAGGGTAGTATAGTAATTTAGTTATACGCAACTATAGTACCCATACTATAAGAAGCTTAGTTTAAATTTAAGTTAAAAATAAATAGCTTGGTAGGTATTTGTGCATTCTAATTTTCAACTGATTTTATTTGTATTAATTATTTATTTAATTCTTCATTAACTCTATTAATATTTAAAAGACATTGGCATCATTATTTTGTTTTATTTATTATTTTATTTAGATATAGTATACCTATATATATTGCCTGACGCCTGTTATTATCGATGAAAAAGCTATTAAACGTTATTAAAAATTCCTATGATATTATATTAAGACACTATTTAACACGTAGATCTGCATAATAATATAGGAAGGTACAATGTAAATCACATGCCTTAAAAAGTAAATTGAACGATATTTCGTGAAATTAGAGAAAAATCGATAAAATTACAGACGACAGTAACTACCTATATGCTTCTAGACATTGCAACTTTTAGAATGTACCTACCTATAATAAGTAAAATAAAATAAAATAAAATATTATAAATATTATATACCTACTAAAAAATAATTTGAAAAAATGAATTAGGTTAACATTTTATATTTAAATGAGAAGTATGGCGCTTAACTCAGACCCTGAAATAGCCTCCAACCACATTCAAGTCCACTTAAATCTTCTCCAAACCTGGTATAAAGATTGGGGAATAAAAATAAACGAATCAAAATCAGCCCACTGCACATTCACTCTAAGACCTAGAAACTGCCCTACCATAACTCTCAATAACCTACCCATTCCACCCACACAAAATGTCCGATATCTCGGACTCCACCTGGATCGTCGATTGACCTGGGCCCACCACATCCATACCAAACGTATTGCTTTGAATAACCGATCCCGTCAGCTACGTCTTCTCCTTACATCTAAACACATCAATCTGAACAACAAAATACTTATATATAAATTACTACTAAAGCCCGTATGGTCATATGGTATACAACTTTGGGGTTCAGCCAAACCATCTAATATAAAAAAAAATTCAAATATTTCAATCTAAATGCCTTCGACAAATTACCAAAGCCCCTTTCTACGTCTCAAACGATACACTCCATAAGGACCTCTCTATTCCAACAGTTCAACTCGTAGCCAAAACTCTGTATAAACGATTCCACTCAAATCTCTCCAACCACCGGAATCCTCTAATCTCAAACTTATCTACCCTCAGCATTCCAGGTGACCCTGGAAGACGTTTAAAACGAAAATGGTGTCGGGACCTCCTGACTGAATAAAACCTATCCACAACTCCAAGAAGTACCATCACTGGATGGTTTCTTCGCTCAAATTATCTGTCTTTCTCTCTTTATTTGTATTTTTATCTTTATTTTATTAATCTACAACACTTACACTTATTGTAAAAATAATATATTTACAGATTGTGTAATAAAACTAATTAAAAAACAAAAAAAAAAAAAAAAAAAAATGAGAAGTAGGTATACCGTATATACCTACCTACTTGTTTGAGAAACAAATAATGAAAACTAGTTTTGAATTTTGAAATAATGTTATGTTAGCAAAAATATTGGAAACCATTACCTATACTTGGCTGAAAAAATTATGTTACTTAATTTTATATTTATATTTTAAATTTACTTTTATTCACCGTTTTAACTCGGTAGATACCTATTGGAACCAAATTATAAACCAATGTTATTTTTAATCTTATCTATTACCCATAAAAATAAAGTTGTATTGTCACAATAATATAGTCTTACTGACTAATTATGCAAAGCGAATGAAAACATTGTTTTAGGTAAAATTATGCAATACATGTTAACCTATACCAATGATTAAAGACGGTGTATTTAATCAATGCCTATAGCAATACCATATTGTTTTTTTTAGTTGGATTCAACTTGTGCTGTAAAACAATGGTGTAAAACTCGTTGTCTGTGAACACAATATCAGCTGCACATATGGAATATTAGAATATTGTATAATATTATAATATTACGAAGGACAAACATAATATTATATTATATAATTAACCAGTGGTCCGTTGGGTGTAACATAAAAATCGTTTTTTTGAAAAAATTCTAACTATTCGACGACACAGCTTTTAGGTTTGCCGATTAAGCTTAGGAAACATGTGCGCAAACGGAATGAACTAGGTATTATCATTAATAATTATTATGATTCAAATTTAAAATTTTTATTTAATTTAAACGTGAGAGACCCGTGGCTATACTTTGTAATTACTTATCGTGTATATATGTAAATGGTCAATTTTATTACCCAGAAAATGGTTAAGACCTCTCCTCTATACATCTAGCTATATACATCGTAGGTAGGTATATAATATATTTTACATATAAATATTTAATATATAGGAAAGCCGTCATAAGTCAACAAAGAATCTGCCGCAGTTCAATCAATATATGGGTACTTACCAACAAAAGTTCGGTCTGCTTGTCAATGGCCACGACTGCAAGGTCCAAGTCCAAAAGTCTCTTAGTGATCTCCATGCCTATACCTCCGTTGGCGCCGGTCACGAACGCCACTTTGCCTTTCCAGCGGTTCATATCGGTGGTCATTATAATATTATACTTGTGGAATTACAAAAATAGAAAACGTATTTCGAAATTGCGATTGTGGACGTTATGCTTTGCCCAATATCATTGAATACTATTTAATGGTAAACTTATACAGTTATTATCACTATAATTCGGGTAAGTTAGTATGTCCATTGGCGGGTGCACTCACATCAGCGACTGCTTCAACGGGTGTCTGATTACGACTGCCACCGGTTCTGGATTTGACGCGGCGCCTCGATTTCTTGCCAAATAGAAATATTATATTATAGGAACGTCGTCCTCGTCATTTCTCGTTCACGGCCGGTGGGGTCACCGTATAAGAATTTAAAGATTACAACTCGCGCAAAGAGGGAAAAAAGTTTTTGAAAGAAATTTGTTCAGGCTAATGGGACTATATACGTCATATTAATATTATAGGTATACAATATACATAACTGAGTATTGACAATAAAATAAAGTTGACATTATTTTTTTTAATATTGAAGACCCCTCGTGGGCCACGAGTCGTGGCTAATAGAAACGGCGTAAATATTCTAATGTTGTATCGTAATCTCGTATTTCGTATAGGTAATGGTAGGTATGTCATATTAATATATTTAGTGTGATAACGAGAGGTCGAAAGGATGTATAAGGTATATCGGCGATGATAATACATATATGTCATATAATATGACTTGTGATAGATGGAATTTATGATTAGTGGTTACCTACAAGCTCATGCAGTTATGCCTATTGCCTACATTATTTATAAACTTGGTAGTTATATACTTATATAGGTGTATGTAAAGTACCTTGTAAGTATATGCTTATTGCTTACTGATCAGGCGGTTGGGTGCCTTAGCTATAATATATTAATATATCACTATTATGGTCACTTTCCTGAACAAGTTGATAGGTAGGTAGGTATATGATTATATGAAGACAATTTAAAAGATTTAAAAACTGTTTTTTAAATTTGTCTGTTTTAATATAAAATTAAAAATAGATAGCTACCTATACTTAATTAATTACTTGTATATTTTTTGAACGGGGTCAACTATTCTGTATTAAAATAATAGTGCTGGATTTCCGTGTCATTCGTCATCCACATCATTATAGCAGGTACTATAATATATATTTATTTGTATATTTCAACACCAACGGCAATAATTAACAAAAATAAATACATAAATATTGGGAAGTATTAGAATTAGCATATATAAAAAACAATATAAGTATATAGCTAAAGTACTGATAGAACATAAAAATTAAAATATAATTAATATAACTACCTACATATTATTATTATTATTATTAAGTAAAAACAAAATGTTGTGTGGTCCGTGTCTAAGATTTATTCTACTCTTCACTTTTGACTAAAATTCCAAAAGTCTTGGTCTAAGTCAATTTTAAGCATAGTTCTTTGGATAGGATCATTGCATAAATAATTTGTTCTATATATATGTATTAATGTATATATTATGTGTTTATGTTACAGCAACTACGATTAATAAAATATTGGTTTGGAATAATATTGTCGGAAGCCAACGACAGCCAGATTTATCAAGACTTGTTCAATTAAAAAGGCTTGTACTTTTTACAGGTACCTATACCTATTTTTGTAATTCACAAATAAATAATTTATCTAATAAGAATAAGAACAAGAATAACATTCAAAAAAACTCATTACCATGAAGGTAGACGGTATAGTGTCTCGTAATAATTCCAGAATACATCTCGCAAATTTGTCAGTTTTGGGGCTCCTTGTTATATTATAATATGGTAACCCCTGTGTCCCCTTTCTTGGGCTCGTATGTTTCCTACCTGAAATAGACGCAGTGCGGCACCAAGAACGGGCCTTGGTAGTCCATGGCCCACCTTGAAAGTTGAAAACCTCTGGCACACCCGTTGCCCATTTTTGATTTAACTCAATAGTTTGAATTCTAATTTATTGTAACCACTCTATTCAAGAGGGGAGAGGTTTAAAGACCATAAGGTTTAACTGTTTAAGGCAAGATTAAATAAAGAATTTTTAGGTAGGTACTTATTACCGGAGACTCCCTGCTTGCACCACAATCATATTATGTCTGTACCTTAAACCTTTCCTAATATATTATGTTATACCTCCTGTTGGCCCACCCTAGACAAAATCACGTCACCACTACTGGTGATTTACGTATAGTTGTGACAGTTGTGTCATACTTGTTTTCTTGTTTACGTGATCCATGGTGGTATCTTAATTTATATGCGACTGTGTGAGTAGCCGAGTAGGGTGGTCGCTTAATATTTAAGTGTAGTATAATATATGTAGTATTGCATAATTTAAAATTTAAATATTATATTAACATAATAATAGTTTACAGCCTAGTATGGTGATTTCTTATAGTTCTTCCTATCGTGTTTAATTCTTGGAACTAAAATGCACTTTTAGTTTCTTTATATAATATGTTTGACGTAAGTGTATAATAAATGTATCTATTCCTCCTGCGAGCTTTGTGTGTGAGTACCACGATTTAAGATATATAGGTACTATCTTAAATCGTGGTGACTGGTGAGTACTGACTAGGCTTAATTATAATAATCTAACCTGTACGATTATGGCTAGGGTTTGTTAGAGTGGCGTGTATAAAAAAAAATCTGCTTATAGATATTTATTTCTTGGAATTAAAATGCACTTTTTGTTTATTTATATAATTTGTATGAGTACAGTAAGTGTAAGTGTATAATTTATCTATTCCTGCTGCAAGCTTTGTGCGTGAGTAGGTACTGAGTAGGCTTAATTATAATACTCTAACAGGTGTGATGGCCAGGGTTCGTAGGAATATAGAGTATAAAAAAAACCAATTATATGTATTTTCATTTTTAATTCAAAATATCACTTCGATCCTGTCGATTCACTGACCCTGTAAATTCACGAGAACATTTTGTTGTTAACCACTACAAAATGTCACTAACTCTTGTGAAAACTGGTTATGTGTAAAATTTTCGTTTTCTTTAATTTATTTTAGTTTTTTTCGTCACTTTTGAAAATTACAGATTACTAGTCAATTTTACCTCTCAAAAGTACCGACTAGATTTAAACTCCCACCAGAAAAGATACTGAAGTTGAAAATCGAAGCAATATTTCAATTATTTATCGAACACCCCCCCAAAAAAAAAAAAACAGGGAAAAAAAGTAAAAACACATCATTGTAAAATCAAAACATTCATAGCTCCGCTTAGAATTTAAAATGTTAAGCTAGTTTGTTACGACTTACGATCATAATCCATAGTGTAATTATCTACCAATTATACCTATACTCATCAATTTAAAACATCGAGGTTTGAAATGTTTTTAGAGTGAAAAGTTTTAGAGAATACTGATCATCGTTCTTTTTAACTGACAAGTTTAGTAAAGCATTTTACATCGTTTATACTATAGCCTAGAGGTGGCCAAACTTGTTTTGTTCAAGTTCTACTGGGAATATATTTTGTATTTAAAGATCAAAAGAAATATTATTTTCTTATTTTAGATTCTGTGTGGAACAATGAATGTATTGATTTTACAATGATGTGTGTTTTTATTATTTTTAATTTTTTTTTTTTTGTGTCTGTCATCACGGTTTGGGCAGTAAAACTGCTTCGATTTTCTTCAACAGTATCTTGTTCAATAGAAAAGTGAATCTAGTTGGTGCATTCCGGAGGTAAAATTTTAAAATTCCCAATAGTTTTCACAAGCGCCGGGAAAAAACAACATAAAAATTAAGGAAAAACGGGAATTTTTACGCAAATCGGTTTTCCACAAAATCGATTTTGGTTTTTGGTGTAACTCTAATATAAATGAATTTATATACATGAATTTTTTACTAGTTGTTTATATTTGCATTTTCTATACACTATGAAATTTTCAAAATATTATGATTTGTTTTGAACTGTTTAGGAACATTTTCATTTTCCATTTTTCTTTAGTTTTTTTTCTAAAAATATCCATAAAATTTTATTTTTTGGTTAAAATGCTTGAAAATTTAATAAGAAGCTCCTAGTATATTGTTTCAAAGGCAGATGAAAAATATTAAAAATCCTTAGTCACAGTTTTTTTTTATAAGCATTTAAAGATCAAAAATTGACAAAATATGGAAAAATCATAAAATATAGCAATTTATTTTGAGTTAAGAATTCGTAAAAATTTTTTTTTTTAAATCTTAGGTTTTAAAATGTAATACAAGATTCCTTAAAAGATTATCTACCTGTATCAAAAAAAAATGTCTATAAGAAAGTCAAATTAAATTTTTATGAACGTTTGAAATTCAAATTTTTTCAACATTGGATATATTATAGATATAATATTATATTATATTCACTCGAATTCTCATGTAGCGATTTTCTTATTTTGTTGTAATTTAAAAACGAATAACTGTAGATACATGAAAATTTCACTGAATGTGTATTTTATCAATTCTTATACTTGATAAAATATTTAAAATATTTTGATTTGTTTTGAGCTGTTGACGGACAATTTCATATTTCTATTTTTTTATTTTTTTTTTCTATGAATATCAATAAAGTTTTATCTGTTGGCCAAAAAGTGTAAAATTTTAATACAAGGCTCCTGATGTATTGTTACAATATCAGTTGAAAAATATTTAAAATACATAGGCACAATTTTTTTTTATAAGCATTTAAAGATCAAATTTTGACAGTATGTATCAAATTTAAAATTGAATAATTATTTTATAGTTAAAAATTTATAAAATGTTCAACTTTTATATCTGAGGATTAAAAATTTAAAACAAGATTCCAAGTTAGTAGTTAATTCTGTTACCAAAAAATCTAAAAAATACACTAGCACAGTTTATTTTTATAGTAATTTTAAGTTCAAATTTGGACGAAATTACATAATACAAAACCTAGAGTAACTATTTTAGTTATTTTGTTGTGATGAGTGTTTCACATTGAATTTATCAATAATAATTTCAAAATAAATTAACATGTCATACTGTTGGCGTAGAAACGCTGCTTGCATATTGTTGGTCAGTTGATTA